TCTAATTGTTTGTTCTTGCCCACATTTCCTATTTTTTGGAATTTAATTCACTTAATTTTGATGGAATTTTTAATGAAGATGTTTTTGGTCTGATTAGATTCCCTTGAGACATGATGTTAATTAAGAGCTAATATATATTAAATAAATTATAGATTGGATTTAAAGAAATCTTTCCAGCATTTCAAGAAAAGCTTCGTTTGGTACAGTGTGCGTGGATGGGTATATAGAAGAAGAGCTTCTGGACAGAATAATTTGTTGTTTTGAGTGTAATGCTTCGTTTGGGACTGTTTCCTTTCTGTTTTCTAAAGTAGTTTTTTAGTAAAAAAGAAAAATTTTGAACTAGAAAATTTCTACTATAAAGTTATTTTAGAAAGCAGTTAGAAAGCTATTCCAAACAAAACTTAAGTAGTCAGAACTAGGGAGTCTTCTTTTTTTCAAACCCTGTCCATTCCAAAAGATGTGGATGAGTGGCCTATCATGATAATATCTTTGTTTTTCATATATTAATTTCTTTCATATTCATCTGATGCATTGTTTTTAATTATCTTCTCCAGTAGCAGCTAAATCCCGCACTCCAGTGTGGTTTGAACCTGTTTCAGTGACAAAATCTGCAAGAATAGCATCTATTGTAGATTATGTGAGTACTAGAACACAAATTTCACTTTAATTTACTTTGATGATGATACTGTGTTGTTCATTACATTTAAAGATATAAATTAGCCAAACATGATAGAATCTTCTGTATGTCTACTAACCAATTAATAAATGTGAAAAAATATAATATTAATAATATGTACATCAATGACAACAATAAACCTTTATCCCACTGCGTAGCATCGGCCACATGAATTTTTTTTTCTCCCTTGTATCTATTAAGAATCAAATTCTCATTTAGATCTAAAAAAAGGTCATTTTTAATTGTGTTCAGCTTGTTATGAAAATGAGCTCAACGCAATCATTCAATATCAAATCGCTTCCTTAAAGATCAAACAGAACATGAATTTCTTAATGAGTCTAATGTGAACTGTTTGTAAGCAACAAGCTTTTTGACATTCTAACTATATTAGATTTCAGGTTATTTCTTTATTTGGCCTTATTAATTTTGCAGATAACATGTGCATCTCCTAATGAAAACGAGCTCATTGCCATGGCAAATGCCTTGTCTTCCCAACAAAGGTTTAGTTTTGTGCAACGGCACACAAATACAGAAAAATGGCTTCCGTCGGTGCAATCATTGTTCGATCTCTTGAAACCAGCAATACTTCTTTTGCTGGAAAGAGGAATCAAATTGCTCATTGTGACCCTTGGTTCTGATGGTGTATTTGTATGCTTCAGAGATGTTGCTGACTTCCTGAAAGACATTACTATAAAGAACAAAGAAGAAGTTGATCACAATAGACAACTATTGAAGCTTATCAACAAAAATTGCCCTCCTCACCACCATGAAAGTTTCCTGAGATTTGTACAGATGAGTTCAGGTTCTTTTGCCTTTCATCTTCCAGCACCACCTGCTTCAGTGGTGAGCCTTACTGGCGCCGGCGATTGCTTGGTTGGTGGAATACTTTCTTCTCTTTGTTCTGGTTTGGATATCATGCAAAGTGCTGCAGTAGGTGTTGCTACAGCGAAAGAGGCAGTTGAGGCTTTTAATAATGTGCCAGTTGAAATATCATTGAACAGAATTGCTTCTGAAACTCACAAAATTCTTTCAGGTGCTAAGCAACTAATCTTTGATGCTTAGTTTGTTTATGATTTCAGAAGTTTTTTGAGAAGTGAGAACCAAATGTTAGCTGTTTTCTTTGTAATGGACTTAGCCGTTGTGTCGCTGATTTCTTTTTTCGGGGGATATTTAGGCCAATTAAGACAAACTCACAAACAAAACACAGGCAAGCTTCGAACCAAAGACCTCTTGATTGATAGTCAAAGTTCCCAATCAAAAGATAGAAGTGAGTTGCGTTTGCTACTTTCTTTATAAATCTGTTTTTGTCAAATAAAATCCTAATTCTTCATTTAATCACAAATGATGAATTTGATCTTATATTCCTGTATTTTAATGTGGACTGAGCTTATGTAATTTGATTTTTAATGGTCATTTTTGTTTGATTCTAAATTAGTCATTTCGGCTTCATTATCTTGCTTTTCTGAAGTATTGATTTTAATATTTACATGTATACCTTCAATTTAAGCATTTTGATCTAACCAAAATGAAATATTTGCAATTTTCATTTTGTTGTAATCTCCTATTTGCAATCTAATGATTGTTAATTGCATGCTTATATTGTAATGAGGTTGATTGGATAATTGTGGTGATATTACTGTGATTGCTATTTAGAATATTTCAAAGATTGTTAAGAGATCAAAATGTTGTGTCAGTCAGTAATGAACCTCAAACAAATCCAAATGCTCTATATGATTAACTCTTTATGTGTTCCTCTTAATAGAGATTGTTATGCCATTGTACAGAAACACCTTAGCCAATTAATTTGATGGCATTTAAGTTGTTCTT